ATGCAAAACAGACTAAGTCATTTGTGCTTCTATTTACAATAAACATGTGGCTGACCTCGTTCATGATCATTATGAATATAGTACATAGTGGACACTTGCCTGAACGTGTTTATGTTTATCATATAAAATTCGATAAACTCTTTTGTCTGTATTATGTATATAATATATAATAAATGCTTGCCCCACCTCGTTTATTTCCTCTATATAGATTATATGGTAAATTCTTGACGTACTTCGTTTCTCTTTATTAGATGTATACAATATATTTTAAACACTACTAATAATGAAGAGTCCCTCAGTGTTGCATGTATTTTAATGCGCTGTTTCATATAGCCTTTCTCTGGGTTTGTTGCAGCTCTACTGTCACGAAGTTGGCACCCCCCAGACTCAGGACGTCTTGGTGCTTGAATTCCCAACTGAACCGACATGGATGGCCCATGCGACTGTGACAGATGATGAGAAGTTTGTCGTCGCCAGCATCTCTCGAAGCTGCGAGCCGGTAAGCAACGAGCCACAGAGGGCACGAAAGGAAACGCCTTTGCAGAGTAAACACCCAACAGTAAACGCAGGAGCTTGCAACAGGTGTAGTAAACCTCATAGAAAAGGGTGTTGAGGCACCAGTCGTTCAGGATCAGCAACCTACTTCTCAGAGCGTCGTATGAATTGTAGAACGAACGCTTGACGCCAGTACATTGAGCATTTGCTTACGTTTGTATTTCTCTTTCTCATGAAGCGTGAGGTCCTTCTGCTGTTACGAGTATTTGTTTGCATCTTTCTCATGAAGCGTGAAGTGCATCTGCTGTTTCCTGCTGTCGCAGACAAATAAATTGTGGATTGCCGCGCTGCCTGCCGCCGGTGCACCAATCTCGGCGTTTAAGGAGCTGCAATGGGTGAAGGTGGCTGACGACTTTGAGGCCGGCTTTGAATATGTAGCCAACGATGAAGGCGTTTTCCTCTTCACGACGAACCGGGACGCCCCCAAGAACAAAATAGTTAAAGTAGATATCGCAAAACCAGGTACTGCACTTTAGAGGCTGTGTGATGCGGCAGCTGGAGGGTGGGAATAATGGCTTACTATCGATGACATGAATTGTGCATGTTGAACGGTTGATTGAGTTATGTTCCCTTCAGTCGAAGTCGTGGGCTGAGGCTGTGGATCGGGCGCAGTTGCTTAACATTTGTAGCACCCAGGGGTGTTCATCTGAGGCATTGATTGCATATTCTGTCTCTGCATGCTGCATGGCATTGCGTGCAGACGCCCCAATGGTGGATGTGGTGCCGGAGGCAGCAGCAGTGCTTGAGGAGGTGGTGGTAATTGCACGAGATCAAATGGTTCTTCATTACACTGAAGATGTGAAATCACGGCTATATGTACACCGCTTAGATGGACCGCGCGTCAAGGCTCTCGAAATACCCGTTGGATCCGTTTCAGAGATGTCAGGAAAGAGGAAATTCGATCATTTCCTCTTCAGCATTACCAGCTTCGATACACCCAAAGTGACGTACGACGTTGATGTCAGCGGGGGTACCTATGACCTCTCCGTCCTCAGACGCACTACTGTAAGCAACTGGTCGTTTCTTGCTTCTCCTCCCTCGTTGAACGTACAAACCTCGATAGCAGCTGCTGCTGTAGCATCTACATGCACTGTGCATGCTGCTGCTGCAGCTGCAGCAGCATGTTGGTATCCGGATGATGCAGAGCACAGAACGTTTACGCGTCCTTCAGCTCTGTTCCCCTGTGGAGCGGATGTGTTAAAATTAAGGCTTCGGCAGAGGCCAGGGCAGCGTGGCTGAGATGTGGTGTTGCAGCTGTTTGTTGCTGTAATGTGCTGCTCAGATAGATGACTTGCCTCTGGAAAAGCTTGAAGTCACCCAGGAGTTCTACACTAGCAAAGACGGGACGAAGATCCCCATGTTTTTGATGCGACAGAAGGGGATGCCGCAACGCCCCCAGCCAATGCTGCTCTACGGATACGGAGGGTGCGCCACCTTCAACGTATATAGTGAAGTATAGAGTTACTTATCTCTTAGGCTGCGCCCTTATGGTGTATCGACTCCTCGAACATGGATTCATATGTTCATAGAACACCGCGACGTTTTCGTTCGTTGCTGTAGGGTTGCCTGCACGTCTTAATTGACAGCCAGACCTGTGTAGTTTTATCTAGAGAATTGAATTTCTTGTATTTATTTATATAGCTATTGGATTTAACTCACTGCAGGGGTTTTGGTGTTGGGCTGCAGATTCAACATTTCCCTGACCCCTTACTTCTCTCTCGCCTTCGCTCTCTCCGCTCTGTACTTGGGGTTGGGTTTGGCCGTCCCCAATATAAGAGGAGGAGGTGAATATGGCGTTGACTGGTATAAAGCAGCAATTAAATCGAAGAAACAAGTAAGTGCAAGGATACCACACTTCCATACACTTATGCAGTTATACTACACACACACTTATCTATACAGCAGTTCACATCTCTGCACGCTTGTTTCGCTTCTCACTTCT